ATTAGTAATTAATTACAAATTAAATACTCCGAATGTTACATATATGTAGTTAAATGAGAACAAATTAACCCTCAAATTAGTATAATTTCTTACACTGTGTTTTGTTCTTTTGTTTTTAAAAATCTCATAGTCTAAATTTTTTCCTACCTAAATATAACTATACCTTTTTTCATTAATTAATATGATTGCCATCAATATTCTATTATCAATATCAATAAATTTTAATAATGTAACCTATTTTTTTAAATAATAAAAAACTAAATCGATAACAGAAGTAAACTTAAGAAATTAGATTCATAAAAATTAAACTTAAAAGATTAAATTAATAACTAGAACAAATTTAAAAGACTAAAAGTTGCATTGTCTCTTGCAATATTGATATATTGATACTTCAAAAAAAATTACTAGTATAAAGTGAAAGTGTTGACATTTTTAAAATATAAAATAAATGAATTATAATATAACGATTTTTTAATAAAAATAAGTTTAACAATGATGAAATCATTAACTTATTATTAGCTCCCCTTCCCTCCTTTCCAATTAAGTTAAACAAGGGATCATTAACTATCTTTCTTTCCCTCCTCTCCTTCAAACCAAACACGTTGGAAGGATTAGAATGATTAGTATTTTAAATAATTATGATGTAAGAGAGATTTGAAGTTATAAAAGAATTATAATAAAACATGGTATGGATTAAATCCAAATCCATGAATTTTTATTAATCTAAATGATGAATTTGATCTAAATCTAAATCCAAATCTCCTTTATCCAAGCATACATTAGTTCTTAGAAGATTAATTTAATAATAATTAAGTCCCAACAAAATTAATTAATTATGGAAATCTTAGCTGCAACATAGATGAAACCTCAAGTAGTGGTTTAACCTTGAATACTTAACCAAGCAGTTGCAAATATGGAAATCTTAGTTGCAACATTTAATCTTGAATGCTAACTACATGAAACCTCAAGCAGTGGTATATTTAATCTCATCTCTAGCAGCTAGTAAGAGTTTTCCCTCATCAAATAATCTTTATCAAACAAGGTAGGAGTTTAAAAGTAATGGCGGAGCCACACAAGATTGCACTCCCTTACTTTGAGAAAAATTATAAGGTATATAGATTTGTAACTTTACACCTCCTACTCTTAATATTTTGTGCCCTATAGACTATATAAAAAAGATATTTGTACTAACAAATTATTAGATATATAATATTTTAATAATTTGAAAAAGATATAAGAAATATATTTACAATAAAAGACCATATCAAACTATTTAATATAATTTTTTAAAATAAAAAATAATGATCACTTTTTTTATGTTATTATAATTTTAGTCATAGTATAATGATTATTTTAAAAATATTAATTTTTTTATAAAATTATTTGTACCTCTACTTCTAGTCTCAACTCTACCATCAATGGGAGGGGAGAGAAGGTGTCTCGATTCCCCTTCCCTCCATTTTTCTCTTTTCAACTTTGGACCAAAATTGTTCAACAATTTAGATTTAATTATTGAGAAAATTATTATTTTAATTTTATATAAAATATTATAGTTTTAAATTATTTAAATTAAAATGTAATATTTCAAATTTATTTATATACCTTATATAAAATTAAAATAATAATATTATTAAAGCTTAAATTTAAACTGTTAAAATTTTGATCCGAGAGTAATTTCAAAAAAAAACAGGGAAATAGAGACACCTCTCTCTTCCAGGGTTGAATTTGCTTAATGCAAATATTTCACCCTAATTTGCAGCCTTTTTTCTTTTTTGAAATTACGTAAGAAAACTTGCAACGCCCATCGCATGTCCACCTTCCACTGGCGTTGCTTTTTAGTCTAATGAGGTTTTTTATTAATTTTAGGAAGCTTCGTTGAACGGACACGTATCAGTACTTTTCTGTTACTATTGACAGACTGCAGAACTGTTCTGCGGGTTTAAAAAAAAAAAATATAATATTAAATAAAGCCACTAAACCGACGGCCTATTAGCTCAGTTGGTTAGAGCGTCGTGCTAATAACGCGAAGGTCGCAGGTTCGAGACCTGCATGGGCCAAATCTGATTCGTTTTGTTTTATCCATCTGTCAAATTATTTTCCCTTTTAAAAAAAAAAAAAATTGTACAATGGGCTCACTAAACGAAACTGCACTTCGTACCCAATAACCTAAACGAGATCCCAGAGCCCAACTTCTTGGCCTAAAAAGAAAAAGATTTTGAAATGCACACATAATTTCTCATGCCAAACTTCCTACTAATTGATGGAGAAGTTCATGGGCAAATTACTCTCCCCCGTGTAACTGGTGTAATGCTGAAGAGAAAGATATTCTACATATACTCCGTGATTGCATTTAAGCGGGACAAATCTGGAGTAAACTGCTGCCAAAAAAGATTTATTTTTACCTTCTTTTTCTTGGAATCAGAGAGTGGAACCTGAAACCACCCCCAAGCATGGCGATCTCAACGAGCTGGAATCTAATCTGGGCTCTCTCTATTTGGAAATTATGGAAATGGCGAAACTGTTATGCCTTCCAACAGGATTTCCAAAAGCCAAAGGATCCTGCTGCGGATATTCTTAATATATACGTGGAGATCTTTTGTTATGACAGAAGATAGGACAGAGAGAAATGGAAAAATTCCTGAATTGAAAGAAGGATGGAAGCCACCGCCTAGAGGGTGGGTTAAATTCAATACTGATGGTGCTGTCTCTTTCAAACAGAACAAGGCTGGCTGTGGAGGTGTCTTGCGTGATAGTGAAGAAGTATGGATTGTGGTCTTCTCCTTTTCTCTAGGTAATTGTAGCCCGTTTGAAGCAGAAGAATGGGCAATTTTTTGGAGCTTATGCATGGCTTGGGATATGGGATTTAAGAAAACCCTGGTTGAATCAGACTGCCAAGTTTTAGTGAATTTAATCAATGGGAAAAACGATGGCTTATACAGCGGCAGTTTAGTTTTTCTAGAAATACAAAGTTTACTCCAATATAACTGGAGCCTGATGATTAGCTTTATCCCAAAGGAGAAAAACTTGATTGCTGACTCATTGGCTAAAGAAGGAATCTCAAAGTCCTCCCTTTTTGACTCTGTCCCTTTATCTTTAAGGGATCTTGTTTCGAAAGATTGTTTAGGGTCACATCCCCCAGTTTCCTTTTAATTTTCAATGTTAGGGCTTTACCCCTCTTTTATACCAAAAAAAAAAAAAAAAATCTCATGCCAAACTTTATTAAAAAAATAAATTCTAAAATTAAAATTGGTATAAAAATATATTGCATGTGTTCTTAATGAAAATGTATATATCTGTCTTGAAATTAATTTGCCGGCGTTTTGTATTGCCATGATACATTGATAGCAAATATTTGTGATTTTATTTGGATGCAAACTTTGGTTGCAAACTTTTAGTTCTTTATAGTTTGTTTAAACAATTCTTTTGTGAGATACGATATATTTATAGTATTGTATTAATGTGTTGCCCTCAAACCAATTGATATTTGGTTAAAAATTAATATATAATTCATATTCTCTTCTACTAGCTCGCTTAACTTGATGTAAAGTTTGTCATGTGGTTTCTGTTTTTTCCCCCCAACTTACTTGAGGGCTTAAATAAGAAAATTGAGTTTCTTTTATCACAGAAAAAAAATAACATTTTAAAACATCTAGGTCTTATATTATTTGTGATCGTTGTAAATTCATAGAGAGAGAGACACACACACATACATAGTCTTAATCAAGACCTTGTGCAGCGTCCAATATGCAAGCAAGCGTGCAGCATATATATATATATATATATAGCTGCAGGACCAAGCCAAATTGTGTACTTAAATAAACTTACAAGTTACTAATTAATCTGGAAAAAGGTTTGGTTAGCAAGAAATTCATGTACTCTTTGCCCATGCATAAAATGTTAGCTTATCAGGGTCTAATATTTTATTAAGAAAAAAATATAATTTTTAATCTTTAAATTTTTTATCGATATAATTATCAATTCAGTCTTTAAGCTTCAATGCAAAGCAACATAATCTCTATATGTAGTTTGTTTTTAAACTTAGAACAATTTAGTCTATATAGTTTCTTAATTTTGTACAACAATCCTTGTAAATCCTTAACTCGATAAATTATAAGAATTAAGTTTATTGAATAAAAATTCAAAAACTAAATCAATAATTGAGATAAAATTTAATAACTCAAAGACATATTATCACTTGTTGGCCATCCAACTTGTGGCTTGCCGATGATAACCCCTGGTTTTTCACTCGTGGTTAGAATGTGCGGCCATGAATCAGAACAAGGATGTTTTATATATAAAAAATATATATACTCTTAAATAAATTAAAAAATAATAAAGACATAATTCCCACTAAATGGTGATCACAAGAGTACAATAGTTATTCGATATGTTGATCTGCATATTATAAATAAGCCACCTTTTTTCGTATGGTAATGTAAATAATTAATAATCAAATCTAAACTTAAAGATAGACAGAAGTATGAATAGATATAAAGAGAGATAGATAGAGAGAGAGAGGGCTTAAAGATACATGGGCATGCATATATTCCGTCGTCACCTTTGATCTCGTGACTCTGAGGAACATATGCAGTCTCATCATTTTGTCTCTGTTGTTCAGATATTCATTATTCTATGCGCTCAAAGAACAAGGGAAGCTAGATGTTTCATCATGCACGGCAAGCCTAAGAATTGGTTTACCATTCGTACAAAACCAACTGAGAAGTGAGAGGGAGAGAAAGAGAGAGAGAGCAAGAAGATGAAGCTATATATATATATATATATATATAAGGTTAATGGTTTTTAAACTCATGGAATTATGGATATATTAAGTTGATCTTTTTATCAAAATAGTTTCGCTAAGTCAATTTGACAGGACTTACTTAAACTTATATATCTTCAATTGTTTTTTTATTGCTCATATAGGTATCTTTCTATTGTGAAGACAGTCTCCCAGTAAGGATTTAAATTTTAATTAGCCAAGATCAGCTCCTTTCGCTATATCCAACTGACCGGTTGGTTTCTTTTGGTATTGAATCACCCATGAGTACTGGGGCCCGAGGTGATCTGTGGTGTGAACGTACACAGCCGATCCATGATGATAACTGAATCGTGGCCTTCCCAGATTGGAACACACATTAATGCCATGCAATGGTATAGAGAGAGAGAGAGAGAGTACAAGTGTTCATTACAATATTACAGGAATGCCCAGCTGCTGAGTGTCTTGAAAACATTTGGGTTCGGTTTCACAGAGCCATCATCAACACTTCATTTTCTATGTTGGGACTTTATCTAAGGTTTCTCTTTTCACGAAAAGGATCCGTTCCCTCTCTCTGCAAAACATGACACTATCAGCGAAAATGTTTTTGTCTTGTCAGAGATTGGGATCACTTCTACTGTATATCATTTTATTAGTTGTAAATGCACATATATATATAGTTCCCTTGTTCTTCATCACAGCATATTCAAACGTTAAAGGGTGGTTTAATTTATCGACTGGTTATTCCAATAATGAAATATGAATATTAAGGTCTCATGGATATTCGGTTTTCAAACTTTCAACAAGAAGCTTTATGATAAAAGGTTTTAAATGATTCAGATTCAGAGTTTACTTCAATAGCACTCATGCTGTCAGTGACATTATTATTTACGCTGGTATAATTGCTAAGCTCATAACATTTATATTTGGCAGTGTCAGGGGTCAACAAAGAAAGAGCCTTACTCGAGAAACCAAAATTAAAGCAAGTCCCAGGGTCAACAAGGTCTCCAAGGCATATAGTACTGAAAATCAATTCTGACTGGTTGAACCTGTATACTGTTTCCTTAACTATAGAGTTTGAATACAATTTTTATAGCCGTTTACCTTTAAACTACCTTGCCAAAAAACATATATATATTTCTCTATGTTTTGCCTGTCAAGATAATTAAATTACACTGCATTTTTATAAATAATTATGAAACACACACACACACACACACACACACACACGGACCCCCCTTCTCTCAGAACTCAAGCAATAACACTGATCATGACAGAAACCACATTATCACTAATGACCTCACTGCATGATGATGACGATATATATAAAGAACAAGCTAATATATAAAGCTAGAAGAAGAGACACTGTATGTTAAATTATTGTGTTTATATTTATAGCGGCATTTTCCAGCACACACTATCCAAACCACAACCCAATAAAAATAAAAAAATATATATCAACCATAATCTCCATGAGAAGCAAATCAAATAATAAAGATGGTAATAAGAAAGTCAATAACTTGATCATAAAGACCTGTTTTGTTCGAGGATATTGATATTATTATTAGTTCTTTGCCTCTTCACATTCCCATTCTCATCACCTCCACCGTTCTTCTCCATCACTGCCTTCAAAGCCTCTTGTATGGAGCTTATACAGTGCTGATGCTGTCTCTGTTCCTGGCTTCCGCCGCCACCGCAGCCCAACTCGTCTTCTTCTCCGGTCATGAACAAGACGTTCTTCACGCGGCCGCCGAGCGTGGTGATCTCTGCCTTGACTGTTTTCAACCTTAGGGCCTTCAATGTTTTGATGAGATCCGGCAAGAGATCGGACCTGTCTTCGCAGCAAAGCGAGGCTTTGATCACGAACCTGCCGTCCTCGTCGGAAGCATCGTCCACCGTCAACTCGTCGGCCTCCGTCGGCACCGGGCTTGTTTCTGCTATTATTGAAGTTTGACGCTTCAGCTCCTTCACATGCTGGATTACTTCTGCTAGTAACGAAGCTTTGTCTGTCTGCGTACACACCATCACAGAGAGAGAGAGAGAGAGAGAGAGAGAGAGAGAGAGAGAGAGAGACAACGTACGAGAAAATTCAGTAAATATACGCATTCTCGGAGAAATTGTCACGAAACATTACACACGTACCTTTCTTGCTGTTAATTTTGTATTATGTGCTAGCTAAAATATCATGGAACAAAATTATCACATGTAAATAAATTGTTTAAGTACTACTGCCATTTGGTGAAAAAGGCATGCATATATAATTTTTACTAGAAAATTTCGCAACAAATATTTATCAAAGTAGATGATAACAAGCAGCACTATTGATGGACATTACAATTTCTTATAATATAGATTTGTTAGATATGCATCAGACACATATTTGACCTATTTCGTATGCCATGAGACAAGAGTGTTTTACACGGATCAAACACATTAATAATGATAAACACGACTCCAAATTTTTTCCATAGGAAGTTTGAATATTGGGAGTCAGGTGTGAGTTAAATCAAATGGCTGGGGTAAACCAACAAATATCGCTGTCAATGTGAACCCTTGTTTGTGAGAAATACTCCTTCAAACGATCTTTAAAAGGCATGGCTTGACTATAATAAGCCCATGTAACCTAACTCACACAAACTTGATTTGAGCTATAAAGCTGATAATTAATTATAGCAAAAAGATGACATTGAAGAAATGGTAGAGTGGGGTTTCGTTTTGCGCAAGAGGAAGGAAAAGAGGCATATATACACAGTTACACACGGACAGACAGACAGGCAGACATATATCTATCTATATATGTATATAATTATGTAGGTATGTATAGGTATCCGTATACTTAGGATGTGGTATGTAGTGTGATGACTGACAAAGATGCTACTTTGCCTCTGTGCATGGCTTTATTTCTTTTCATTCTCGAACTGAGTATGACTGATCAATACATGGACATTATTATTCCCGGCAAGAAATTGCATTCTGAAGCTTTTCATCAACTGCCTCTCCTTTGGTTTCTCTTTACCTTACCAACCAACCGACATTAACGCTATTCTTCTTTTTCTCTTGTTCCTTCCTTTATCTCCTCGGAACTACCACACAACGACTCAGAAAAAAAAGAACCAGAAGAAAACAAAGATGACACATATATGGGTATAAAACGAAGAAACACAAGGAACTAGAAGAGCCAAAAAGGAAACAAAAGTAGTCAAGGTACAATGACACTGTTTTGCTAGCTCCTCATTTTCTAAAGTGATGATAGATTCACAGAGCGATCACAAAACGCTAGAGAAATAAGGGAGCTTTCCAAGTACAACGTTTCGTCTCAGGCGTGAAAAAGATTTCGTCTTTTTGAAGTTCAAACTTGACGGTTAGAATTATTCGTTGTATATATTAATGTAAGAATTAGATTGATAATTAATTGTGTAGGTTTAATACTTACTTTGGTTGTGTTGGGCAATAAGCTTCGAAGCTTGGCGAGATGGTTGTTGATTCTCTCGCGGCGTCTTCTTTCGGCTTCGCTGTGGCTCTTTGAGGCCGCGAGAGCCTTGGCGTCCATGATTTCTTGAGCCGTCATCTTGCCAAGCTCGGCTTGGAGGCCGAAGGGAGCTGAGCTGGGTTGACCCCCGACGGGTCCGACACCGAGGGTGTCGGAAATGATCCGGAGATGGTGGTGATCGGAATTGGACGGACCGTCGTAAGCGAACTGCAGGGAAGGAACCCTGCGGTTGAAGAGACCCGGGTAGAGCGAAGATGACGGCGGAGGGACCAAGAACTGGTGGTCGGTGTCTCGGACCGGGTTGAACGAGTGAACCGGAGGGAGAGACCATGGCGGCTGCTGCGGCGGCGGCGGATGAAAGATTGGAGAAACCTCAGGAAACATCAATCCTCTTTCGTTGTTGTTGTTGTTGTTATCAGAATTACCTCCGAAAACGTCGGCGTTTAGCTGTTGCTGCATCATTTGGTGAAGAAGAAGCTGTTCTTGATAGCTGTGAATGTTATTGATGGCTTGAGAAGATGAACACTTTCCTTGATCTTCCTGGTTTTTCATCCTATTTCATATGATATGGATGTTATATTACACAAACTAATCAGAAAAGCAGAACATGAACATGGTCTTCTTCAACGCATGCGCATGTACATAAGTAATTAACGGATTTAAAAAAAAAGAGAGAATGAATGAAAAGTAAGACACAAACCTTGTCCCTTTATTAAATTAATAAAGGAGTTGTTGTTCTTCTTGTTCTTGTCCTCTCATGATGGGTCTGTGTGTGTGTGATATGATATGAGTTTATTTCTTTTTTCTGTGTATTGGGTTGAGTGGGTGGTGGTGAATCTGGAAAGGGCAAGAGACGGCTTTGATGTCTGTGTTAGACTGAAATCTGTATCATCACTTGGGGAAAGTATTGTTGTGATGCCACAATAACCTTTGTGGAGGGCTAGGGGGCGAGATAATGGTCCTTTTTATCTCCCCCCCCCTCTTTTTTTTGGAGGCTTTGTTGGTATCTTTTTGGAATTTTTGTTTGTTTCTTTCTCTTTTTTTCCTTTTCTAATATATTGTACCACCTTTCTCCATACTCCCTCCAATCCTATTATATATTAGTCACCTTCTAGGGTTATTTGATGGTCCTATATAACATTAATCACTTTGCATTAAAATGTGAAGTATTAATTAACTCTTTAACCTATGTTTAGGAAAAAAATTATACTTTTAAATAGAGGTAAACATGAAAAGCCATAATTTTATTTTTAAACTATTTTAATAATTTAACTACTTTTTAGTGCCGGCAAAATAGTTAGATATGTCTTCTATTTAGAATAGGAGGGAGAGAGGGAGAGGGAGATGAGAGTGTGCGTTGGGGGGGGGGTTTGAGTGCTCATGGCATGTTGTCCCTTTCCTTTCTTCCTACGGCATTCTCTCTATCTACATTCAAATTTTGATTTGAACACAAAGCTGTAGACTATTGATTGAGTTGAGACCAACTGATCCCAAGAATTACAACAAGAAATGCATCTTTTAATTTTCAACGTAAATCTTTGTGACATGCTTTTAAAGTTGAGTGAACTACACACACACACACACACGTATAACTTACAAAGTTCGCAATCTATAAGAAATTCAAATTCATCACCAAAGTTAAGATGGGAAACCCAGTTCTTCCATATGGCATTATTAATTCCATGGCAGTGCATGCGAAATGATATTCTTCACGTAGGAAACATTATTGCTGATGAAACGTGATTTCTTTTAAGATATAAGAAAGACTAAAGGAGGACCATTGAAGGAGCAGAGAGAGAGAGAGAGAGGGAGTGAGAGCGCAAATAACGCAAGACAGAGAGAGATTATGGAGCGACCAAATAAAGCAGCAAAAAGGCTGAGACGGAGAGGAGAGTAGATGAATATGATAAAGGCGAAGCGAGGCCTTTTCTTTGGTTAGAGGAAAGATTAGGGAGAAGTTTAGTAATTAGTGAAAAAGGGGATGGGCTTTATCGATCTAGCTGAGGTAGAGATCTAGAGAGAGAGAGAGAGAGGGTTATGGTTATAGACTTACAGTTATATACAAAATACATGAGAGAAGATAGTGATGCAGACGGGGAGGGAGACCCCCACAGGGACAAAGGCAGAGGCCACGTTGTGAGACAGTGGTTGGCTAAGAATGCGAGCATATGTGTCACGCGACCTTTCTACTTCTCCAAGACCCTGCCATCATTGTGTCTTGGAACACACTCCTCTCTCTCTCTCTCTCATGGGTCTAACATTAAGATCTCTTGTTTGGTTTAGATTGTTCTTAATCAGTGAGCTTTTCATTTCTGGGTGTAATAATAACCCTCCTTAGCTTCCAACATATCTTAAGAAGGATGGCCTCTGCATGTACTCTTGCTATTTAATTAATTAAATTGTCCTCAGTTTACTAAAAAAGAACAGGTTCTTTATTAAACATAAAAAAAGAAGAAGAAGAAGCAAAAAATACAACAGTAAGGTCTCATATTTTTATTTGCATTTTATTTTTAACTTTTATAGTTTCATTTTGTTCTTTGCTATCCTTTTAGTTTGATCCTCAGTTTCTATAATTTAAAAAATGTGCATGATTATCATGAGATGAGACTAATGGAGTTATTTATTTATTTTGGCTGTGATTTTCCTAACCCTTCCGCTTTCCTGGAGAGGGAGCAAAGTAAACTTTCTTTTTTATTTGGATTAAACATAAGGGAGAAGAAGACAAACTTAAGTATGATATATCTTGTTAATAAAAGTTGACAAAGTTAAGTACATGTCAGTAAAATTAGCTCTCCCTATGCCGTTCATAGTCCTTAATTATGAGTATTTTAAAAACTATTAAGGATTAACATTGCAGACAAATCAAACTATAGGACTTGAAAACAAAGATCATATAAAATTACAAAGACTAAAAACAAAAAACAATCACAATACAAGTACCCACTTTTTATTTTCAAAAAAAAAATTCATTGAAAGGGTTTTTCTTCATCTAAAGCCTAGCTTAACTCAAATTTAAAGCGCAGTTGGCAAAAAAGATAGTTTGTTATACAAGTAACGAATAATCATTTATCAAAATCTTAAGGTTAATATTGATTCGAATACGTTCCATACCATTTCTCAGTATTTCTTTCTACACATAATCTACCTGTTTATTCAATTATTTCATTTGGTTTAACTATACATGTAAGATTGCTAATTATGAAATTAAGTTAAATATAATATTATTAATTTAATTACTACTATAAAAAAAGCATTATGATATTGTTTTCAAAAAATTTAGGTGATGATAATAAATATGCAGTTAAATAAAATAAATAAGTAAATGGACTGATAAAATTAAATATGGAAATTATATGGTGAGTGAGTATAGAATTAATGGATCCAAAACACTATACACATATTCCCTCAAACACAATGTAAATCATTTTCTAGAAGTTTTGTTTAGTGCAAAATACAGGCATTGGATAAGTGTTACATTTTTTTTTCAATTATACCCTTTTTTTGTTAAGTGAGTAAGGATAGTGTTTTAAATAAATTAAATGTTATATTTATTATATTTAAGGCCATGGTTGGAAAGATGTGAAAATTTTAGAAAATTAAGATTTTAAGCAATTTTTTTTAAAAATGTAAATTATCAAAGGCACATGCATGGGATATATAGTTCACCATTTTTAATAACCATTATTAGCAATAATCATCATAGTTCATCTTAACTTTGTTGAACTTATACATTTACATTAAACTACACTTTTTCTCACATTTTTCATTCTCTCCTTGAACAAGTTTGCCGGCAATAAACTATACTACATGTTTTCCTTTGGCATAATAATAATAATAATAATAATAATAATAAGGCTATCTGTTCGTTCTTTAAAGAAAGATTGAATCTCGTTGAGAGAGGTACTTTATTAGATATGTGAATACCCCAATACGTGCACACACAGATTCATACTTTAATTTATCACAAAACGATATTGGGTTATATAGTGTAAAACACTCGGGACTGATTAAACTACTTGTATTATAGAGGCTTTCTGACATTTATATTACACGGGTCTAAAAAGATAAGCTGTAATATTTTATATCAATATATTAATCGATATTCATAATTGTAGAAGTACACTGGGAGAATGACATTTAAGAATCCTTTAATTTGTGCACAATTTACTTAACTCCTGTACTTGAAAAAATGACATTTAAAGACCTTACAATAATATCAATTACCAGGTAAGGATTCTAAAATTATTACTTTAAAAAAAATATCATGGTCCTTAGTTGGTATTAAAAATTTTTGATTGAATATTTTCAATACTACTCATCTTTAAAATTTTCAGTATTCAGTTTTTTTTTTTCAATTTTTCAGTAGTTATCTTAAATGTTTTCAATATTCATCTTCCATATTTTTTAGTACTGAAAAACAATTTTTTTTAATTCTTTTTTATTATTCATAGGTATCTTTTTATTGGAGGTAATCCTATTTTAAGCATGGTTGAATATTAAATATAGTCACTTCTTCTAACAAAAAATCAAACCTTAGTTCTTCATGTTATGAGGAATTAGCTTTTTCCTTTAGACCCAACCTTATTAGTCAATTGTCTTTAATTCTTAAGTACTAAAACCATGGAACATAAGTATTGAAAATATCAATATTAGAAAATAAAAAATTAACTATTGAAAAAGTTAAAGATGACTATTAAAAATATGAAGATGAGTATTGAAAATATGGAACATGAGCACTAGAAAAATTTAATCAAAAAAGTTTTAACGTCAACTAAGGACCATATTTTTTTTAATTTCATAATTTTAAAATCCTTAACTGTAATTAATGTTAGTATAAGGTGTTCAAATGTCATTTTTTCCCAGTACACAAGTTAATTAAATTGTACACAAATTATTGCGAACATGACTTGACTAGAGTTTAAATTGTACGGGAAAATTCTTGGTGTAAACTTTCATATCTGGACACATCGTGCGTGCCAAAGCATGGCTTGTGTTGAGTATATCATTTTGAAATGCACAATCTGTAGGAATAATATATAAAAAAAATTCAACATATGATCTTCTTGGCCACTTCTTGATAATATAATCTGTCCTTTTTTTACCCCTTTCCCTCAGTGACATAAATTCTCTAGTTGGGATAAGCCACGAAAAGATAAAATCAAAATTCTTTATCGCTTTAATAAGCGACCAAAAGATAACATAAACATGTTGATCAGAAAGAATAATTGGGAAAATGAAAAGAACAGAGAGATGGTTGGTAAGATATTGTCCATTTAGAATTTGAAAACACATGAAAGGGCCACCCAACAACACCACAAAAGGAATTAAAAGATGTTTTCAAAAGAGAAAATGCTTTTCACTTAGTGGCACAGTTTTCCAAACTACTATGTCCTAATCAAAGCACTCGATGTTTGGCTTATCTTGTGCCACAACCCCAAGCTCTGATGGCTACTGCTACATAGGTCTCATTGGTTGGTCCAAAAAGACTTCATTTAATTGAGAACTATGTTGAGAGTTTCGTTTCAGGATGAGGACAACATTTTTACGTCTTGAATAAATATTTGTTCATTAGTGCAGGATTACTTTTCTATATCGGTTAAAAAAGACTTTCTACATCAATTCTGATATCAATATAAGAACTACCAATTTAAAAAGTTTAGAAAAAAATTTCACCTAAAGTCCAATACTTTTTAAATTATTTTTGCAAGTGCAAATGCCCCAAATACAAATATATTTCTTCATAAAAGGCGTATTTGCTCTTAACTACACAAATTATGTATAATAAATGAATTATTTCAGGTTGAGAGTTTTTTTTTTCAGGTTGAACAAAAAAAAAAAGATTTTTACATCTTTAGCAGTATTTGTTCATTAGTTTAGGACAACTGCTATAAAAAGTTTTCATTTTATACACTGGTTATTGCCCTGGTGTGTATATA